GCACTCCAGCCTGGGCAACACAGCGAGACTCTGCTCCACAAAGAAAATTTAAAAATTAGCCAGGTGTGGTGGCGCATGCCTGTAGTCCCAGCTACTCGGGAGGCTGAGGCAGGAGGATCGCTTGAGCCCAGGCTTTTGAGGTTGCTGTGAGCTATGATGACGCCACTGCACTCTAGCCTGGACAACAGAGTAAAACCCTGTCTCAACAACAAAAAAAAAAAAAAAAAAGAGAGAGAAAGAATAAGAAACTAGTAACACAAAAGTTAAGGCAGGGTAAGTGGAATTAAAGTGTTCTAAGGTAACTGGATTACTTGAGAAAGTGGGAAATGTGCTAATTGATATTAGAACCTAATAAATCATGCTTGGTTAAATATAATCTTCAGAGAATATTTAACACATAGAAGTGAGAAAGAAATAATTTTTAAAATTGATCAATCCAAAAAGAGACAAGAAAGGAGAAAAAGGGAACATAGACCAGGTGGGCTGATAGGAAAAAAATAGTAGAGTTAAACTCGAATACATCTGTCTACCAGTCATTACAAAAGACTGCAAGGAAAAGGTAAGGGACATGAGGATTTAGGGTACCACTGAGGTCTTACTGACATGATGTCCTGGGATCCCAGCTGGCTCAGGATGGAAGGAAAGAGATGCTTGATGGACGGAGGGGAGACAGAGGGGGCGAGGACTGGGGTCTCCAGAACGTTCAGAACTTTCCCAGAGGGAGCCGTCAAACCAGCATGGAGAGGTCAGAGTGGGGCACGTGAATTAGAGTTAGTGATATGGGGGCAGAGAAGTTATGAGTCAGCAGTTATGGGTGATATCTTACCTCCAATCTGTGTGCCCTGCTTGGTACCCAGTAACCCTGGAAGGGAGAGTCCCAGTGAATGACCCCAGCCTGCGAGCGTGTGCAGTGAGGGAGAAGTGCCACGAGATGGCAGCATTGGCCCACAAGTTCCGTGCAGTGCGCCCCACCATCCACGAGGCTTACTGGGGCGGAAGGCACTAGGGTGATTAACACCTGCATGAACAGAGCCTGCGCAAAATAGTCAGGCTCTTCCTGATTGTTTAATGGCCTGCAGGTCAGCAGACTCTGGAAAGGAGAGACAAGGGGAGCTTGCCGGGCTCCAGTCCTGGAAGATGGGGGTTTGTATGACCCCTTACCCCAAACCACTTTTAATGGAGACCCTGAGTGGGCTCTTGAAAGCAAAAGGATATCAATTTGAATTTTGGCTCTGACGCTTACTAGCTGTGTGACTCTGAGCAAGGTACTAACCTCTCTGAATCCCAGTTTCCTCATAAGCAAAATGAGGCTGACAATAGTACCATGCGGTGGATTCAATGAGATGGTTCCTGCAGCGGCAGAGCCAGAGTGGAGCTCAGTGTCCCCAGGACTCACCTTCTTTAACAGCAGTTGGAACTATTATTGGTCACCTCCTCTGTGCCTCATAGAAGGCTATTAGTTTGGTATTATCACGCCCTTTTACAGATGAGGAAACTGAGGCTTGACTTCCTAAGGACACATGAACAGCATCCAAGCCCAGGTCTGTCTGGCTCCAGAGCCCAGTTCTGACCACCACGCCAGGGGGCTCCCCTGTCAGGCCTCCCAGGCCAGCCCTTGGCATCACATCCTCCAGTTCCCTGGGGCCAGGAGCAAGTCCTTTTGTAACAGCAGGGCGGCTTCTGCCAGCACTCAGAACCTTTCAGGGTATTCCAAACCAACGAGGGATATGGTGCTTCTTCAAAGACAGAGAGCTGTAAAATATCAACGCAGTGGAAAGCGCTTTGGATGTTTGGGCTTTTCCTTCCTTTCCCTTTCTTCCTGACTTCCTTCCCTTCTCCTTCTTCTTCTTATCCTCCTCCTCTTCCTTTTTCTTCTTCATGTGTGTTCAGGAATAAAGATGCCTAATGGATGTGTGGTACTTTACCACTTACAGATATTTTCCCTGACATTCTCTGACAATGCTTGCCATGCAGGTGGTGGTTGTCAACTCGACTCTGTGGCAATGCCCCATGTACCCCGGCCCCATCCCAGATGCAGAGTTGGTGACCCTCAAGGCCACTCCATTCCTAAGCACTGATGTGACTCAGGATATGTTACCCCAAACTATGACTACAGGAGACCAGAACATGCCTCCCCAAAATATGCCTCTTCAGCATAAGGATTATTTTGAACTGGTTATTTTGAGAAACTGCAGACACAGAAGAAGCTCTGACAACAAGAGCAACAGTTACCCTTTTGTAAGAGAAGTTTCTGTCTATGGAAGAAATCTCCATTTGTCAGGGTGTCTCCACTTTTGCACCAGGAAGAGGACGGCACTAAATTACCAATGCAGAAGGCAGTGACCTAAATCTGTGCAAAGTTTGCCCTTGTCTGCCTCCCCATAACTGGCCTTCCCCACACCCTTCTTTCTTTGTTTCAGTCGAAGACTATTTAAGTCCGAACTCAAAGCCATGTTTTTTGGAGATTTACTCATTTCTCTGAGCATCTCCCATGTATACATGAAGTACACATGTTATTAAACTTCTGTTTTTCTCTTGCTAGTCTCTCTTTTATTACCACGGTCCATCCCAACTACAAACTCATGAAGGCTAGAAAAAATTATTTTTCCTCCCCTACAGCACTTATCAAACGGGGCCTGTGTGGCCTGTCCAGGACAAGTCCAGGCGAGGGACAGGAGCCCAGCCAATCCTGGGCCCACTCGCCCCAGCCCGCACTCCCACCCGTGCTGGTCCCAGCCCCAGAGCCTGGCTGCTGCCAAGTCAGCCTGGTACAAACACTTGTGCTCTGTCTCCTCCCGTCTTGACCCGGTCTCCCTCTTCTCTGATGATCTCTAAAGGTGGCTGTTTTTGTTATCTTGTCACTGAGGTGCCTGCGGGGAAGAGATGTGCTCAAGGTCACTCAGCTGGTCAGGGGCAGAGGTAGATTCCCACTTTCTCATGCTCCCCCGATCCCCTCCAGCCTCACACATTCCCTGGGAAGCTGAGCGCCCAGTGGTACCTGACTCGTTGTGTCCTCAAACTGACACTGCCGCTGCCATCTGTATCTAGATTCTGGAGGAAAATCGAGCCCACGCTGGCCAGGAAGCAGTCCCAGGGATGCATTAGCAACCTGTTTCCTCCCAAGTCTTTCTGTCTTAATGACGGAGCCCATCCCGGAGCCCCTGGCTAAACCCAGCCCCAGCATCCAGCTAATCCCCCAGTGGCTGGCGCTGCCTCCACGCTCTGGAAGAGGACTCCTGGTCCTCCGACTCTCTCCGCAGGTGTCCTAAAACTGTCCCACTCACTCACATACACACACACTTGCCAAAAATAAAAGGTAAAAATGGCTACATAGAACTCAGGACTTTGCACGGAGAAAAAGGCATCAGGTGACACAGCTCTAGAGCCTCAAACAGATGGGATCATGGTGTGGGGGCTGGACCAGAAATAGCCCTGATCCTCTGCCCTCACTAGAACCAAAGCCTTTCGTCATGCATGCCGTCCTCTTCCTCCTCAGCCGCACCTGCCTGTTTGCCACGTGGCGTGGAAGAAACAGACTTGGCTCTGGGATCTGCCACCCCATCACTGCCAGCTGTGTGCTATGAAAAGCCGCTTTACCTCTTTGAGCCTCAGTTTCCTCATCTGTAAAATGCGGACAACCGTCCCATTTCACTGGGTTGTGGGGATCAAATGAGAGAACATTCATGAAAATGATTTTTATATTTGAGGGTGTCTTTTCAAATATAAAGAAGGCTAAAATTAAGGCCTGATAAATAAACTGCCACATATAAACTACCACATTTTGGGGATGGGGGAGCTCTTCCTTGGACGTGAAGGAAATTTGCGGCGAGGGCCTGGCATGGATCTCCTCATCTAATTCCCTTAATAGCCCTACGTGGACGCTGGGTTTCAGAGAGGTTTAGTAATTTTACCACCATCCCTCGGCTTACAAGTGTGGAGCCAAGATTCTGGCGGGGAGAGGTGGGGGGCACCCAGGGGCTTCCAGCTCTCTCCTCTCCTGGGCTGGAGGGCTTTCTGACAATTTAGGCTGCTGTTCCCCAAACTTGCCTGCTGGGGGAGCTTGTTAAATAGATCTATTTTGGAGCCCCAGCCCTGACCCACTGAGTAAGAACTGCATTCATTCATCAGGTATGCATGGAACATTTATCGCGTGCCCAGTGCTGAGCGAGAAAGAACAGGGCAGATAAAGCCCCACCCGCCGGGAGCAGCACTCTGGAGCGGCCCTGGAAACTGGGTGTGAGCCCCGGGGCTTTTGTGATCAGGCCAGTGTTTGCGGGACGCTGGTTATGAGACGAGATGCTGTGGGATCCAGTGGGATGCTCCGAGAACCTGTCCACACCACCACGGGCACGGCCTCGAGGGGCACGGCGGCACCTCTGAGCCCTGGGGTGGCCACCGCAAGGACCAGGACCGATGGCCGTAGAACTTCCTGCCCTGCCGAGTCATCCAGAGGCCTGCTGCTTGAGCCGGGCAGGACCAGGGGTCAGGAAGGGGTTCCCGCTTTGTTCCGGAGAGCACACAGCAGCTGTTACGTACAGGGGGCCGAGGGCAGGGTGCAAGTTCTGGGTCTCCTGAAAATAGCCGCCTGGCCTGGGAGGGGGCCCTGCTCCACCGCTGGAGCAGGGGATCAGGGAGCGGTGGGGGCTGCATTTGCAGGGAGCCTCTGCAGGGGCCTGGGGGCGAGGGGAGAGCAACTCCGGCTCCTGGGGCGCAGGCTGCTGGAGGGGAGGGCCGAGCCTCTCCTGGGTGGAGAAGCGGCGGCCGCAGCGGCCGGGAGGCCCGGCTTCACCGCGCACTCCACCGCAGGCGCGGGAGCCTCCCTTTCCCCACCTGTGAAATGGGCGCATGCTGCCCCAGCCCAGCGCCAGACGGGGAGGTGACATCGGAGCGCAAGGGGAAGACAAAAGGCGACCAGCGACCTAGCGAAGCGGGAAGAGCGGCCGGGGCGGGGCGGGCCGGGGGAGGAGCCGGGCCTGCGGGCCGCCGAGCCCGACTGGCAGTGGCCGTGCGCCCGGAGGCAGCGGCGGCGGCGCGGCGGCGGCGACAGTAAGTGCGGGCTCTCCCGGCTCCGGCTGCCCCTGCTCTGGGCTCCCAGCGGCTCCTTCCCGGGCCCCTCGGGGCTTCCGCGGGAGCCGCAAGGCCCCAGGCCCTCCGCGGCGCCTCGGGAGTGGCGCCTCTCGCTGCGTCCCTCCCCAGCGTCCCTCCTCTCCCTGCCTACTCTCTGCCGGCCTCTTGCTGGGTCTCCGCCTTCTCTCCCCCAGCTTCTCTGCCCTCCTCCCTGAGACTGGACCTCACCGCCTGGATGTGGGGGCCTGCGTACGGGCAAGTCAGCCCAAAGTATCCGGAGGGTGGCTGACTCAGTTGGTCCACATTAGGAAGCCCGAGGCAGGGGGTGTCTGTGGCCTCTGGGTGATGCCCTGTGCTTCCCAGCCGTGCTTTCCATAGGTTAGCGTCACTGGCTCCCTACCCTCATTTCACAGATGGGGACATCGAGGCACAGAGAGGAGACTGACTTAGCCAGAGTCAGAAACCTCTTGGAACCAGCACCCAGGCTTCCCCAGCTAGATGGCGTTTTGTGGTGGCCTCAAGAGCTCACTAGTTTCTGCCTCTTTGTTGGGGGGAGGGGGCGGCTGCCCCTTGCCCCGTGTCACCCAGGGAGGGAGCTGGGCCAAGCCCACGGCGGAGGAACACACGCCAGGCCACAGCCAGCTATCTTGGGGAAGCTTGAGCTCTTCCTTGCCTTTTTTTTTCTTTCTTTTTTTAATCCAAAATCCAACAGCTAGCTTTTATAAAGACTAATAAGACTTTGCTCACTTCAGTGCCCTGGCCTGTGACCCGGGTTAGAGAAAATTCCTGGCTCCTTCTTCGGAAGCTCAGTCAAGGCTGAACGGTCCTCAACAAATAGATGCCAAGAGCTGAGAAGGGCCCTGGCCAAGTGTGGTCCTGAGTGACCAGGGTTGGCCCTGCACCCACCCCGTAGCTGGAGCCTCTGGGAAGAACCACTTGCCAGTTCTCTGCTGTCCTGTATGGGTCATAATTATTTTTTACGTTTTTAAACGCTAATTTTATGTGTGCGTGTGTGTGTGCGTGGGTGTGCACGTGCTGTCTGGTTAGCCTGTGAACACTGGTGTCCGCGTGGATGGAGGCTGGGAAGGGAGTTTAAAATAGACTTGCTGACAGGATGCTCTGGGCTCGGGCATCCGGCAGCCTCCTGCCTGCTGGCTCGGGGGTTCGTGCCGCCCTGGTGCGTAGGATGTCCTGGTCATACAGAGTCCACTCATTCAGCAACCATCGACAGGGTGCCCTACACTGCTGCCTTTGCCTCTGCCCAGGGCTCACTGGCTTTGAGGCCTGCAGAAAAGATATCTGTGCTTGGAACCAGCAGGCACGGGTTCAAATTCGCAGCCGGTGCTCCCAGGGAGACTGAGGAGTCGGGCAAGGGCCCCAGACTGCTTAGCTGTGTAATTTCACTCTTGCTATCTGGTAGCTCTGTGACCTTGGGCAAGTTACCCAACCTTTCTGAACCTCAGACCCCTCATCTTGAAATGGGTCATAGAATATAGTACTTATCATATTAGGCTGTTGTCAGGCTCAAGTGCGACCTACGCCAAGCACAGACCTTGGCGTGTGTGAGTACTGGACTTAATTTTGGTTATTGGGGAATTCTTTCTATTTGAATGTGGGACAAAGCAAGGCCTCAGTCTTTCCATCTGAAAAAAGGGGCCAATAATTTCTGCCCTGTCTAATGCCAAGGGATGCTATCAGGTTCTCCTGAATAGTAGATAAGATTCTGCGCCCATATGAAGGTGTGTTCCCATCCTATCAGGAAGAAAGGTTCTGCTGTAGAATAAGGCTCAGCCTCCTATAGGAGCCGGGATGCATTTCTTTGTTGATTTATTGGGTAGGGAGGAAGCTAGTGCAGAAGTGACTCCAGAGTATCCCATCCGCAGCATTGTGGAAATATTTCCCATTTATCAAGCTGCTGCCATACCCTAGGTGCTATCTGGAGCATAGAAGTAGGCATGTACCTCGCAGCCAAATTCAGCGGCCGGCCAGCCAGGTGACAAGCCCAGGATGCCGGGGAAGATGCTGACGTTTGTTCAACAGCTGCTACCGCGTCAGGCATTGCCAGCCAGTGCCGTTGCATAACCACCGTAAAAAGGGCTTCCCTAGGTTTCCAAATGGGGAAATTGAGGCTCAGAAGCCTGGTAACTTTGCCCAAGACCATGTAGGCAATAGGTGCTGGCACCCAGAGTCCTCAGTCCTCATGGACTTAGGGGCCACCACGGATGGGGAGTGACTGTCTCCTGGTGGGCCCCAGGCAGGAGCTGCAAACCCAGGCTTGGCCGTTTACCTAGCCCGTGACCTTCCGCTCTTTGGACCTCTCTTTCCCCACAAATGAAACAAGGGAATGGTCAAAAGAGGTCCCACGCTGGGTTTGGAGACAACTCTAGACAACGTCAGCTTTTTAAAAATTATTATTTAATTTGGATGCTTTTATTTTTATTTATAATCTTAATTATCTTCGAACACTTGATAAATTCACATGGTTCAAAATTCAAAAGGCACAGATGAGTGTGCAGCGAGGTCCCCCATCCTAGTCTCCCTCGAAAGAGGCACCACTGTCAGAAATTTCTCATGTATTCCTCCAGAGCTTTCTGTGCACATACAAATACATATGTGTGTGTAGATTTTCCCTTCCCTACTTTTTTTACATAAATAGTAGCATATTCTACACACTATCCTGCTCCTTACTTTTTTTTTTTTTTTTTTTTTTGAGACAGAGTCTCACTCTTTTGCCCGGGCTAGAGGGCCCGGCCGTCAGCCTAGCTCACAGCAACCTCAAACTCCTGGGCTCAAGTGATCCTCCTGCCTCAGCCTCCCAGGTAGCTCGGATTACAGGCATGCGCCACCATGCCCGGCTAATTTTTTCTATATATTTTTAGTTGTCTGATAAATTTCTTTCTATTTTTAGTAGAGACGGGGGTCTCGCTCTTGCTCAGTCTGGTTTCGAACTCCTGAGCTCAAACAATCCGCCCGCCTTGGCCTCCCAGAGTGCTAGGATTACAGGCGCGAGCCACCGCGCCCGGCCTGTTCCTTACTTTTTTTACATAAAGTTGAAAAGAGCTTAGAGGTCATTCTTGGCCCATCACAGGTCCTAATTCCTTTTCCTGTGGCTGCATAGAAATTTGAATGCCTTTAGACCACGTCTGCCTTCCCAGATTGACTGCCGCAGGCCCCACTATGACACAACGTTTTACACCCAGCCTATCCCACACTTTTATGCTGTCTCCGTTGCTATTTCCTGGTATGGGTGACCTCTGGGTCACTTACAGTTCTGACATCTGTCCTTCTCCAAGTCTGATTTTTGTCTTTCTCCCTGATCCTTAAAAATGCTGCTTTCCAACCAGTCTTTGGTGACTTTATGGGCGCCAGGGTGTAGAGGTATAGTCATTTTGTAGGATAGGCGAGTCCCCAGCTGTCCCCAGCCTCGGTTTCAGCTCACCTGCCCTGTTTCTGTTTCCCTCCCTGCTCCAATAGTGGCTATTGTCCCTGAGGATGAGTTTCATCACAGTTCAAACTCCACCTACAGAAGCATAAGCAGCTCTCTCCGAGCTGAGCAGGAGGCCCTGCTCGAGAGGCAGCAGGACTGCCTGTCCCCTGGCCTGCAGAGGCCCGAGGACCGCTTCAACGCCACCTACATCATCTTCTTCAGCCTGGGCGTTGGCAGCCTAATGCCATGGAGCTTCTTCATCACTGCCAAGGAGTACTGGATGTTCAAACTCAGCAATTCCTCCAGCTCGGCTACAGGAGAGGACTCTGGGGGCTCAGACATCCTGGTAAGGGCGTGTTTCTCCCTCGAAGCAGGTGGGACCAAGCAGCCCGGGTGGGCTGTACTTGGGTGCATCATCCCAGGGAGGTTTGCAGCACACTGAGAATATGGTGTGGATTGGGAAGCTGTGTGGAGCATAGTAGAAAGAACTCCATTCAGTCCTAAGTGCTTTGTGTTGTGTATGAGGCCTCCTGCCTCACATGCTAGGGGAGGATGGAGACGATGAGTCACAATCCCAGCCTTCACATTGCTTACTATTTGACGTGGAAAGAAGACACAAACGATGGTTCTGTGCAGTGTAGCGTGGTGAACTCAAGAATCCAGAGTCCATGCCTCCAGGGGTTTGAAGGTGTGGATTTAATAATATTAAGTTCAGCTGGGAGTTACAGAGAATTCTAAAAGAATAGTAGCTGAAACAAGGTGGAAAGCCATTTTTCTCCCTCATTTAAGTCCTGTAGGGCCTGCCCAGGGCTGGTATAGTGGTCTGTGGTGTCAGGAACCCAGTTGCTTCACCACATGTAGCTTTTGCATCCAAGGCCACCTCACAGTCCAAGATAGCTGTTGGAGCTCCAGCCATTACATCAGTAGGAAGAAGAGAGGAAGGAAAGGCCTGTCACCTAAGAACTCTTCCTGGAAGTAACGCACATTGATCTACTTACATTTCACTGGTCAGAACTCAGTCATGTGACCACATCAGCGGCAAAGGAGGCTGGGAAATGGGGTCTTTTGATGTAGTTTTCTCCCAGAGAACCACATGCCGGCTAAAATGAGAGATTCTGTAGTTATGGCAGACTGGGAAACATACATTCTTGGGGATAAGTAGTGTGGTCACCAGGGGAGAGGTTGCTGTGACTCAAAGTGTGTAGATTTAAAGAATGTGGAGGAGACACTCCAGTTAGAAGAAAAAGGCTGGGCAAAGGCAGAAGGCGAGGGAAGTTGAGGTGTATGTGGCACAGTGAAGCCTCTGGTTTTGCTGCGTGTGAGGCACAAGTAAGAGAGAAATAAGGCTTGAGATCGTAGCCCGGCCTTGAAGTCATTGCCTGGGCCTTGACTGTCAGGGTGAGGAGCCTGAACTGTGTGTCGTTGACAGGCTGCTCCCTTGCTGGGTGACTTCTCCACGGTGGGGGTGGTGGGGGAAGAGTGTTAAAGAAAACATTGTTCTGACACTTGTTAAAACAGTAAGGGGAAAACATTATTTAAGAGATATTGTAGGCTGGGCGCGGTGGGTCACGCCTGTAATCCTAGCACTCTGGGAGGCCGAAGCCGTTAGATCGTTTGAGCTCAGGAGTTCAAGACCAGCCTGAGCAAGAGTGAGACACTGTCTCTACTAAAAATAGAAGGAAATTAGCTGGACAACTAAAAATATATCGAAAAAATTAGCCGGGCATGGTGGCGCATGCCTGTAGTCCCAGCTACCCGGGAGGCTGAGGCAGGAGGATCGCTTGAGCCCAGGAGTTTGAGGCTGCTGTGAGCTACACTAACGCCACGGCACTCTAGCCCAGGTGACAAAGTGAGACTCTGGCTCCAAAAAAAAAAAAAAAAAGAGACATTGTAGTCGGGGAGGGAGGTGGAACTCAGCTCTGAAAAGGACAGTGGGGATTTACAGCCGAGGAACAGGGTGGGGGTCAGTGGAGAGAAATTACTAAGAGGCAACTTCAGGGGTGGGGGTTCTTGCCGAACTGGCCTAACATGATTCTTGCTGTAAGCCGGCCAAGGATTACACAGTTGACTCTTAAACAACATGGGTTTGACCTGTGCAAATTCACTTACATGCAGATGTTTTTCAACAAACAAGTAACAAAAATACAGTATTCAAGAGATGCAAAACCCGCGCATATGGAGGGCCGACGTTTCCTGTACGTAGGTTCTGTGGGGCTGACTGTGGGACTTGAGTGTGCTCCGATTGTGGTATATGCGGGGGTCCTGGAACCAGTCCCCCATGTATACGAGGGACGTCTGTATGTCAAAGGTGGGGGACAGGGAACTTGATCAGATGTCAAGGGCGGGGGATTCTGGCTAATATGATTTAGCAGGATTCTTTGCTAAGACTGGGTTGGGCAGGCTGCAGACGGGCCTGGGCGGGGTCGGGGCCAAGGTCAAGGCCTTGTTGAGAAGAGGGCTCAGAGGAGCCTGACTAAAGTTTTGTTCCAGAGTCTTTGTCAGGAGCCTCAGTTCTGCGGCTGACCCAGGATGGGGTGCTGCCCGCCGCCCTGGCTGTGCCCCTCTTCTCCAGGGGTGCCTTACGGACAAGAAGCGAGCGTGCTACCCCTCACGTGGCCCAGGAGGTGGCCCACCACTCCTTCCCCGGACAGCACCTTGGAAATCCCTGGCCTAACCCCAGGGACCTCTCCTCAGTTTTGTGGGTATGAGTCAGACACACCAAAAGAGGCATCTCCATTGTCTGTGTCAAGGACTCTGCTGTGCTACACATCTGAACCACCCAGGGAGCTTCTTAAAAAATACCAATCCAGGCTGGGCGGTGGCTCACGCCTGTGATCCCAGCACTTTGGGAGGCCGAGGTGGGAGAATTGCTTGAGCCCAGGAGTTCGAGGCTGCGGTGAGCGGTGCTTGTGCCACTGCACTCCAGCCTGGGCGACAGAGCAAGATCCTGTCTCTAAAAAAAAAAATTAAAAATGCCATTCCAGGCCACACCCCAAGGATTCTGATGGAATTAGTCTGAAGGGGGTGGGAGCATTGGCGTTTCTGACACCCGCGAGGGCCTTCTCTGTTAACAGAGGAACTGGGAGATGCCTCCAGGGGCCGGAGCAGTGGAGTACAAACCATTTCTGTAGCTGAGGAAGCACCCCAGGAATGTAATGTAGCAGCCGAGAGCCTTGCCACTCAAGGCGTGGTCCCTGGGCCAGTGGCATCCCCCGGGATCTGCTAGTGACGTCAGGATGTGTGTGTTACCAAGACCCTCAGGTGTCTGGCAGGCACAGTCGAGTTTGGGCGCCACTGGCCAGGCTTGGCTTCTAGGTTCAAATCTGCTTCCGTTGGCTCGTAGCTCTGTGGCCCCTGTGCTGCCTCCCTGTGCTGGTATGTAAAGGAGCCTAACACCACCGCCAGCTTCTTAGGGTTGTTGTGAGCATGAAGTTAATTCACGTGTGTTAAAGGTACTTAGGGACAGGGTCTGGCACCACCATCCAGGGTGCTCTATAAACGCTATTATTGTAATTATCACTTGAGGGATGGGGCCCACGCTCCTAAGCGCATGCAGACCTGTGTATTTCCAGAGGCGCCGGCTTGGCTGGGGTGCTTTATGATCCACTTCTATTTACCGGTGACTCAAGAGTCCCAGCTTTCTGCCGGCCTCTATAAATCACCCAGCCCATTGGGCCTCCTGCAGAAGATCCCTGCCTGTCTCGGCCAGCGCGTGTGCACCTGTCCACGTCCTCTGTCCACCGCCTGGGCCCAGGGCAGGCTGCCGCGGGAGGGAGGGCAGCCCAGGCCGGTCTCTGGGAGCCGGGAGCTGCTCCCACCCCAAGGCCGTCCCTTCCCAGCTGCAGGCACTTAGCATTCCAGGCCCTGCTGCAATGCTTTATCGCCTCTCCAAGTGCTGGCAGGTGCGGATGTAGTACCTGCGGCTGCCCGGAGCTCCTGGCTCTTGGCATCGGAGATGGGAGACCTGTCACCCCTCGATTCATGGGCTGGGTTTGGGAAGCAAGCATGCTGGGGCGTTTCTGCATTTTGCGGGCCATTTTTCTTTGCCTCGTTCCTCATTCCTGCCACCCGCCTCCCCAGCTCTTTCTCCCTCTTCCTGGCTTCCCCGGGAGAGGCGGCTGGTCTGCCCTGTCACCTGAGCGCAGCTTTGGGGGAAGGAGGGGAAGAGTCGGATGGGTCTGTCTCTAGTCACTACCTGCAACTCAATTAGCTGTGAGTCTGGATGTTTAGCTTTTTTCTGTTCTTTCCTTTTAATGTTTTCCAGGGATGGATACCATTTAATGGGGAGTTTGACCCAGTACGAATGTTTACCCAGACACCTCCCCCCAAAATTATGTCACTTTCAAGGTCATCAGCCTGGACACATTTTGGGATGGTTTGGAAAGCACTCTGCCTGCCGTGCGCTCTCCTCTCTGTTCTCTGGAATAGGAACCTTAAATAAAGCCGCCACAGGTCTGTTGGCCCAGGGCCAAAAACTTAGAGTGCGAACAGGGAAGAGCTGATATGAAAAGATGGCGCAGGGGACCACGACAGCCGCCAGTTCCTGAGCCGACTCTGAGCCCGCCAGGCTGGTGGGCGGTGCTGACACATTGTCTCTCATTAACCCTGCAAGTCAGGTCTTAGTAACCCTTTTCTTCAGTCAAAAAGCCAGAGGCTCAGAGAAGTTAAGTAACCTGCCCCAAATCACACAGCAGGGAAGGCCTACAGAGAATTTCATGGGGCATCGAGGTGGACAGATGATGACTGATTACAAAATTGGAAACATATTCAGAGAGTGATGTGTAGGCGACTGTCCTGAAGACAGGGCCGCCCCACATCCTAACTCCACAAACACCAGCTTCCTTCCTATGGAGAGCCTGCTCTTAGTCTGGCCTCCTTTTCTAGCCTGAAACCCCAGGGGCTGGCTGTGGGGGAGATGCTACGCTGGGCACTTTGCTTGCATTATCCCATTTAGCCCCACAGCACCCCCGTAAGGCAGGAACTGTTATCATCTACCATGACAGATGAGGATGCCTCCCCGACTAGTGAATATAGCTCTCTTACTGTACATCCCCAGATGTGCCCCCAGAACGTAGGAGCACATAATGAATATTTCTTGCATTAGTTATCGTATGGCTCCATACCCCAATCCAAGATAGTGATGGCATGGCTCTGCAAGGAAACAGAAGAAGATCTAGGGGTCATAGTGGCTACTGTGAAAGGAGTTCTGGTCTTTCAGGTGGCCTGGCACAGATATGAAGTGAGGTTCCTGCCGTAGGGAAGGAAGCCAGGTTAGCCTGGTTCAGCAAGTGTGTGGTCCTGGGCATCCCCTCCCCTAATTTACAACCCCTTGGTCCTGGTCCGATC